CATGGTCTCCATTACTGAGCCAACTCCTAGAAAGATGGAATAATTGTTCCCCCCAGCGCCAACATCTCATGTAATACTCCACTTTTCCCAGTAAAAAAGGCTGATGATGAAACTTGGCGACCCTGTTTCATGATTTGCGTGCTGTTAAATGAAGCTGTATTTGCTCGAGCCACCTGTTGTACCTAACCAGCAACAATCCTTATCTTCAGTATCCTGGCAATACAGATTGGTTCACCTGTGATAGATTTGGCTAATGCATTTCAGTGTTCAGTTGATCCTGAATCTCTAAAATTGGTTTGTCATTACATTCAAAAACAAAAAAGTACAAGTGGATCTCGATGTCCATAGGGCCTATTCAGAATCGCTGACAGTATATTCAAGCTTTCCCTTGCAAGAGAATTTGGCTGGTTTTATGTTTCCTAGAACAGTACCTTAATTCAGTACATTGATGGATTGTTTGGTATGCTCAACATCTGAGGAGAATTGTGTACTGTCACGACAAATTGCGTTTTACATTATTTGGCTTCACAGGGCACAAAGCGTCCCCTAACAAAACTCCCAATTGGTGAAAAAACAAGTGCAACTAATATAGGACAATGAGATTATCTCAAACAGACGAACAATTGGGCAAAGACAGAATTAAAAGCGGTAGGTATTTTCCAACACCTAAACCCACTGACAAAAAAGCCAAGTGACTATCTTTTTTGGATGCAAGGCTATGTCCGACAATGGATTTGTAGATTACGCAAAGTTATCTCAACCATTGTCCATGACATTGCGCATGCGACGACACTGATGCAAACGACTCTGTGACTTGGATTCTGACGCTACTGATCGTTTGAAAACTGAAGGAAGCGTTACTTCCTGCTCCTGCCTTAGGCATACCTGACCTGTCAAAAGATTTTATCTTAGCAGTGTGATTGAGAAAAAGGGTACTGATAAATCTGTCCTGCTTCAGAAACATGGCGACAAATTTAACGACAGTTGCTTATATGTCGCAGAGACTTTCAAGCAGTTGGTGAGAGGCTCCTTCCTACTGTTCTAAATATCGTTTAATTTCAATTCCTCTCTGTTTCACTCCTTTCCTGTTGTGAGTTCAAATCGTCACAACAGACATAATGCCACCGGCGGCATATTGGTCAACGCCAGGCCCCTTCATAAAGTTTTATCTCTTGGACATGTCTGGCTCCTTTTCATCGTCTGTGCTTGCCGGGGCAACGCAGAACTGGTGAGGAGGGAAGGGGAGCTGTGGGTCAGTGCGCATCTGACCCCCTTCCCGGGCGTAATGCGCTTACGTTTTCCCCCGGGCATGTGACGCGCACATGGGCCCATAGGGGCTGGAGGACTCTTTTTCCCCTGCTTTAGGGCAGGAGGGGGGAGTCCTCCACGTCATAGCACACCTCCGCGGGGTAAGCGCGTCAGGGTATGCTCTGTCAGCCGCAGCCTCTTTTCTCTCCATGGTTATGACAGAGGGAGAGGTGAGTGAGGCGCAGCGGCTGCTAACCAGAAAGCTGCTCAGAAACAGTGAGATGGAACAGTGTTGTTGTGGGACGACAGCGCGTGTATACATCGGGGCTCCTGTGAGAGATATAACGAGGGGTTACGTATGGTAACCCTTGTTGTATAAACACAGGCGGAGCCCTCTACTCAGGGGGCCTGTCTGTCCTAAGCTGCTTGCTGAAGAGAAGTAAAGGATGACAGTAAGGAGGCGAGGCCTCCTTTATGCGGTGAGATACGCGCACATTCAGGTAGGCCCGCCCAGGGGCCGGCTACATCTAGAAAGTCTGAATGCTTGCATGATAGGATCGAGGGGAGTACCCATAGAGTCCAGTAAAGGGCTCCGCCTGTGTTTATATAACAAGGGTTACCATACGTAACCCCTCGTTATCAATTATTAGTCCACAGACAGAAACATGAGTCAGCGGTTATTTGATTTAGAGGCAAACCTCAGAAAGACAATATACAGTTCCTGATTTTTAGTATGTTTTGTTAGTTGTGTTTACAATCTTGGTTTTTCTAGTAAGCATTCTAACATGGTGTGGTTTAGCATATTTTTACACCAGAATGCCATAAATACATTTTCTATCGATGAATTGTCAAATGTAAATATATGCTTGTTTTCTTATTTGTCAGCTGAATACCTTTAGGGTTTTCACCGTTGGTCACTGAATTTACATTTTGGCTCAAGGAACATGTGATTATAAACTATTATTGATCAATTAATCTAGAGCATAACATTCCTTGCATCTTAAAAAAAACTAAGAATGCAGCCCCTATTTGAACAAAATGAAGCATAATCTTAGATTGTTGATGGAACAGAGAAGTATTTTAGAAAAATATATAAAGATGTGTTCATATTGACAAAACCATAATTCTTGCAGACTGGATTCTTCTATTTGAGACATATTTAAGCAGTCCTTCTTTTGTTGTTGCTACATTGCTATTTAAGAAGGCTTAACAGTAATACGTTGCTTTAATAATTCCACTCCTTTCACAGTTATTTCTGCCGTATCTCATGTCAGAAAGCAATGGTGTTGAATGAATGTTACTCACACTATTTGAGTGAATTTGTTCTTTACCCACAGCATCCATTCATGACACAATCTTCTAATTTCTACCTCTTTTCTTTTCTTCTTTTCTCCTTCTAGGTCACACGATAGTCGTCTGTTCGGAGGATAGCCTTGTTTGGTACCAGACGTTTGTTTATTTGACCAACAGCACAGGACATTTGGATATCATGTGTTTTTGGAGGATGGGTGGAGACAGGGACCGGCAAGGACAATAATCACGGACATTCCACTGAACGAATGGAGGAAAAGGACCGGCGAGCATCATATAAGAATACGTATCCAAAAAGATTCCTGACTTTAGATCCAGCATCAACAGTAGCTGTCTCTGAACTCTACTGCCCACCAAATCTCTCTTTGTATTATAGTTTTATTCCTATGGACTACAAAGCTCAACCATGAAGATATTTATTGACTAAAAGACTGTGGATTACACCAGAAAAAAAAAAAATCACCCTAAAAACAAAACCACGTGATGTGAAACCTTTGTGTTATTTCCTCGCCACACAGAGCCCCGAAGACTCTTGATTCATATCTGTGTTGAAGATCTAGTGGATCATAAGCGTTTTCATTCCTTTTAGCCTTATGGAGCAGAGATATCTCTTCTTTCTTTGTTGAGTTGAAACAAGTGTTTGGCTTTTATTAAGTTTGTTAGGATGTCAGGTCTTGTTTTGAAAGACGATGCCACAACAATAAAACCTAGAAAAAATATAATGATAAACGGTCAACACAGCTAAGTTCTGCCAAAATGTTTTAATGGTATCTGTTGTTTTAAAAGCCTGGTGACTACCATTGATTACAAATGTCAATATTAACTCAATAAATCTAACTCAATGGATATCAGTGTTCGGTAAAATCTGGGTTTTTGCAGACTGTTCTGTGGCTCTTTGTGTACTCGTCCAAAGTGCTGTATATGCAGGAGCTTTTGAAACTTTAAATAAGCAGATAAAGCAAATCATTTGCCTAAAAATAAGGAGAAAGAGGTGGAGCGCTCACATCAATGTTGTGTTGGAACTGAAAATGTGAAATTCAGCAAGTGTAAAAATAGGCCATGTTCAAAAGTGTAAGGGGGAAATCTCACGGCACTGTTTCTTAAAATGAACAGACTTCACACAGAGCCATCTGAAATCTGGTCCGGGGAGAGACTCATAATTAGCACTCCCCCAAACACTACCCTAATCCTGTTTGTAGCATTTCCAAAAACGAAATCCAAAGCGGCTTTTATGGGTGGTAACGTAATGATTTCCATCACCAAACATCGACTGGTGGTGGGTGGGGGACCGAATGATTTTTAGCATATCGCTGCATTTAGAAATCCCATAGGAATTGCTAGTCCATGTCAATAAAGGCTTAGAGTCAAAAAAGGGAAGAAGAAAGAAATATTTGTTTTAGCCTAGGCTATGCTATTCATCTGAACGTGTGTAGTCCAAAGCGAGTGTGATGTCCATCTATTTTGGCACATATATACTGTGCTGACTATCATTACTGATATCAACATGCTGCTCCATTCCCCCTCTCTGTGGAAGCAGGTTAGAGGCTGGAGGCCGATATATTTGTTTTTCACCTGCATGTGACATTTACACCTTAGGGACATGGAGCCATGGCATTTAATAAAGTGGCCCCGCCTCTGATGTGCTAATAAGAGACACATCTGAAATGTACATTTTCTCTATAGCTGTCATGTTAATCACTTCAAGACAAACATCAGCGTAACATCAGTGTACCATCGGTTATCAGAGAAATGTTGGTTGATATGATAAGTCTGCATAAATCTACTCATTGAGACAGAGAACGCTTTAATTCTAACGGTGTCTAGACTCCAAAAACACCACTGCTTTATGGGGAATTTTATATTTTGTAAGTCAATTTCCGCCTGTAATTGAAACAGTGCATTCACCGCAGAATACTCCTTACACTAAACATAATTAATTAAGCAAAAATGTAGATGGCTCGCTCCTACAGATCAGACCCGAGGGACAGGCGCTGAAGGGGAGGCATGTGGGGTGTTGCTATGCTTAGCGATACAGGTTGCCTCTTGTTTGGTTAGAAATCATTAAATTACAGTAATGACTAATTTCTCATTTCAGCATGCAATACACCGGAGACCACCATGGATTTAATAAAGAGCTGGCGATGAATTACAAACAGCGAACGACTGAGGAAGGCTACGTGATTATACAGAGTAATTCAAAAGTGCATTAATAAAACAATACAGAAACATTGCTAAATCATTTGAGATAAAGGCTTATTTGCATAATTCATTAAGATTAATCAGACCAGGCCATTCACCACAGTGCACTGAAGAAAAGAGAGAAAAGACATGATCCAATCCCCCTGAAAAAACCCTTTCTATCTACAAACAATGATACAAATCTACCCTTGGATCAGAGAATTAACCTCCTTGCACTTTACCGCCCCTGCAGTGTTGAAACACAATCCTTCAGTCATTCACCTTTATGTGAGCTAATATTCTATTAATATTGAAAGATCTTTTCATGCCAAAGCTCCTCTGGGGTTTGTTGCTCTGCCATGAAAGACCTTCACAAAAGTTGAATGGAAATATATTCTGCGTGTTTGGAAACCGCAGTGTGGATCTGAGGGCTGGCTGTTTGACAATTCTGTGCAACGCTATTGACTTCAGTGTTTCATTTTCTGTAGCACAATGAGACGGGCAGGATGCACATGGGATGAGTTTGACAGTGGTCACGGATCACATACTGAGGGTAAGTCACCTGTTGTGCTGGCGGAGACCACCTTTTACCAATGCAATCTCACCACAGTTTGCTTATAGGCTCAGGTCTGACTGATGTGGTTATTTAAAGTAAAATTCATTTATATCACTATTTTATCTTGGAATTAATGTTTCAAAACCTTTTTTGCAACACTACATTTTAATAGGATGAATGTTTCCTCTAAGCCCTAATCTGTGCCCTAAATGCCTGTTATTGCACTATGCACATTTAGTGAGCAGTCACATGATCTCGAAACGTGCAAGGCTTTACGGCGGTGAGTCCTATTTTCTGGAGACCTTTCTCTGGTTTTCCTCTTATTTTCTCTTCCTGCTCTGCCTTGACTTCCATTTACATGTTTCCTGATGCGCAGACAGATACTTGTTGCTAAAGTAATGCTTACAGCTAACTCCTGCTAACATGAGCTGTTAACAGATGGTTGGCTTTTACCTTCGTTAGAAGCGGGGGAGTGTTGGTATTCAAACGGCTGGCACTGGAGGGTGGGAAAAGGAGGTTTTCACTGACTGAGCAGTTGATATACACATTATCATTTCACAGGTGAAGTAGTCCTTTGAGCTGATAAAAATAATTTGGGAAAAATTAAAGGTTGTTCTTTACAGGGAGCTGAACAGTTTTTTTTGTCAATGGCTACTTGGAGTCTTCACTTGTTGCATGGCAACCTCACAATGACTCCAGTTCCCTGGTACAACAGTCTGTGCTATGCTAAGCTAGGCTAACTTGCTGCTATTGATAGGTTCATATAACAGGTGTGATTTAAATGCATCATCTAATGAAGCTCACAGCAGCAAAGTGAAACATGTAAATCCAAACTATTTAATTACAGCAAGCGATACCATTTTACTTCTTTGCTGATAAATGTCCTATCCAGTGATAAATTGTTTCCCAAAATGTTGTTTTCATTTACATTATCAAATAAAACGACTACTAATTAAATGTTTTAATGTGGGTTGTAGTATCAAAGTTATAATCCCATTGCTGGTTTCATCGCAGGTTTTACAGACTAAAGGGTCTAAAGCTGTTGATTAAAGTCTTCCCACTCCTCCTCCCAGGAATAATTCCCTGGTCAGCCATCGGAAATATAAAATATAAAAAATAAAATTGGTATTTTTTTTAGCTCAGGCCAGGGAGGTGCACACATCTTATTGGAAGTGGATGACCCAATAAACCAATCCTATTTTTAATGGAAGACCAATATGAGTGCAAAAATACAGTTCAACCGTATAGAGCTGCAGCCTTATTCTTAGTATTCCTCTTTTTTACTGAATAATTTCTGTTTTAATTAATAAGGATGGAAGAAAATGTTAATATAAACCCAACGAGAACTAAAAACCACTTTGTTTTTTGTGGCACATTTATATAAAAAAAGATTAAGACAATTTTGGAGACAAATTTCCTTGTTCCCAAAGACAAAAACAGACAATTTAGATCTATATCAAAAGGGGTATGCACTTAACAAAGTGTGCACACAGAACAAAACTAAGATCTCAGTTACACAAACACCATCTGCTGGGCTTACCAGGGTTTTATCTTGACAGGATGAATTAGTTTGAAAAACTGTCAGATACACCAAGCAAAATTAGATTTTCTCATTCCATAATGAAAGCTGACAGACTGTAATGAAAAAACGCTCGATCTTGAAAACAGCCAAGATGAACTGTAGAAGTCTCGCTGGAAAAACTTTTTTTTGAAATCTAATTGTGTTATTCTCTCTTTTCAATATCTGGGGTATTTTTCATCCCTAAATTGGGTGTTCTAATTCAGTTTAGGTTGGAGTTTGATGTTATTTCTGACGGCTGTTGGTGTTATCCTCGTCATCCGTAAGCAGTTTATTTTGAAGTGAGTTGTGCCTCTCTCCCTCTGTGTGTGAGCACTGCTGTGACCTGAGGCATAATGGGATTATCCTGCTCAAGGCAAGACGTAGATGCCTTGAATTCTAATATCAAAGTATTCCTCGCTGTTCCTGACACCTCCTCCTTTCTGTGTTTCTCATGCCTGACTGGACTGAGAGGCGATTAGCACATGAATCACGGCCTGCAAGGTGTTTCAGTAAGTCATTCACACATACTTTTGAGGTTTCCTCTTCCAAATTCGGTTTATTTTCCTTTTTATGGGTTTATTCACAACAGCACACACTGTACTTTCGCAACAAGTTTTGTGTGAAGAAAATGTCAGCTAATCATGCTGAAATGCTACAATGTGACTGGGCTCAGCAAGTCTGAGGCTGTGCACAGTATCCTATAGCCGCCCGAGTCCAAGGAGGGTGTTGACAAGACATTAGTGCTGGCCGGTGCATTTGCACTCGCCGCTCATCAGAGACACTCTCAGCTCCCACACTGCATTATCACAATGCCCTTGGGTCAGTGAAAAGGCCTGCTGTAATTTGAAAAGGAAATTATCTTTTGTGGAACTTACTCCAACAGAGCAAAGAAGGAGGTGGGGAAAGGGTTGAGGGTGAGTGGGTGCCTATAGGCAGGGGGAGTTGATAGAAAGGTGAAAAATGCTACTTCCTCTCTTGGCAGCCTGTGAACAGGTTAATGGGAGAGAGGTTTGCTGATATCTATCTGAATGGGCGGAGAGGGACAAAATGACATTCTGATGGATTCCTAACTGCCTTTCTTTTCTCCCTTGGCCCCATTTATAGGCATTTACTGTAACTTTGCATTTATTTTTTTATTTACTTCATTTTTGTGACGCCGTTCTGTATATAGGATCTATTTATTTGCTAATAGTCAGGTTACATTAGACAAAGAGCAGGACCAGCCATAGTTCAACATTTATTTGAGGATAAATGGACCAAAAAATTATTTTCTCATTAAAGGACTTTCTATATTTTCCTTTTAGAGGCAGGTGGTCTATGTATCCTCATTCTGATTAAACTCATCCTCCTTTTTCCATTTCTGATGTGCAAATGTCCCTCACTGCTTTGTGATGCAGCTGGGTCGCCTGTTTTTTTAACCAATTTGTTACATGGTGAAAAATCTGAATAACTACTTGAAGGTCCTGACATTTTGTGGAGAGATGCATACAGACAGTTCATGATCCACAGAGGATCTTTTTATCTACACCATCAACATAAATCATATGTTAC